GAGCCCACAAGTGGGTGAGGGTGATGGGCAGCGTTCGCCCCCCCCACCCCTAAAAAATCCCGTTTTTCTCCCTTTTTTTATTACCTTCCGCTGCTCAGACAGCTTGGTATTTCGCTTGTAAATAAAAGTAAAGCAAAAAGCCCTGCGGGGCCGCTGCCCGCTCCGCAGTTAAAGGCGAGYTGCCCTCGTTAGCACAGGCCGAGCTGCTAGGCCGCGGTGCCCGGGGAGGCCTGGAGCCCAGGGGCTGAATTGGGGGGCGCGGGGGGCACATCCCGGCTGGCCCCGCTGCTYCTCCCCAGGGCCTGCAGCTTCCCCCGTGTCCCGGCTCCCGCGCGCGGAGCTTTGGTGGGAGCCCTGAAGCTCRTAGTCATCCTGGCGCGGCTGTGCCAAGAGTCCCTGCGTTGACTTTCGTGTCTTTCCTTGTGCAGCCGCTTGAAATCGGTTCAGAAGGACCTGCTGGGCATTTCCTAAAACTGGGGGGACCACGGAATGTTTGAAGGAGGTCTTAAGTGCTTTAAAGTGTGTGTAGATTGAGATCTTTGTGCAAAGGGTAACATAAATCTTGCTTTAAATTTGAGGTTGGACTTGGGGAATAAAAACGCTGAGGCACAGGTAGTGTTGCAAGTGCTTCCCCTGCAAGTTTCAGGTGTCTCTGGAAGTGTGGGAGAGCAAACGGCTCTGAATGAGAGTGGATCTTGTGACTTTTTTATAAGAACCTGGAGGAAGATGACCGCAGATGAGTAAGTTGGTGTCATGTGGGAGAAGTACTGAAATTGTAAAATTCCCGTGCTGGTTTGGTTTTAGCTCAAGTCTTTAGGCTACTGCAGGCTTTGGGGTCTCACACACTTGGACCGTGTATCCACCCGGGTGAAAACACCAGCCTGAGAAATTCCCAGTCTCTTCCATATTCATCCTAGCCACCTATTCCTGTCTTTGCACCCAGGCTGCTGTTTCTTGGTCCCGTTACAGCTGTGGGGCTGTAAATGGGATCACTGAACTCATCTGGGTTAAAAATAACGCTCTGGGGGAGGGGAGTAGTAGCTTTTAAAGTCAGCATTGCTACTGAGGAAAAACTATTATGAACAGCAATATTGGAAATTTAGCTTAAATCCAGGAATAACCAGGATTTTGAGGCCTCTTGTAGAGATGGTGCTTGGTTTGCAGGTTTTAGTCCTGTTGAGATATTTTTAATGCTGTTTGCAGGTCAGGGGATTGCTCAACGAATTCCTGGAGCAGCAGATAGCACCTGACAATGCAGAGTGCAGGACTTCTCCGCACTTGTGGGCGTGTGTTAAGAGGGATGATCTGCAGGTTTAAAGGTTGTCAAAAACTTTGTTTGCATTGTAGTGAGTGCAGTTGTTTGCACATGGTGGGGGGGAAAAGAGAAGATTTAAAAACATCTACAATACACACCTGAAAAAACCCATAAATTTTAGCAATTCAGATGTGTTCCGAATGAGTTTTTATCTTTTATTAGAGACATTAAATATAGCCAGGCATAAAAGTGGAAGAAGTTAAAAGTAAAAGTGCAGTTAGTGTGGTAGCTGTGACTGGTTTTCAGTGCAGAGCAAACTTGGTCTTAAATTTAATTTAAGCTATCTTAATATCAACAACCCCCCCCCCCCAAAAAAAAAAAAAAAAAAAAAGTAGTAAAGTTTGATCTCTTAAGTGTATGTTGTAACTCAAGTAATGAAGATACAGATCGGAATGCCAGTGTTAGTTTAATTAATGATGCTAACTCCCCGGTGATGTTGCAAACTTTATCACTCCAATGTTGACAGACTTCCAGCAGCTTCCCACAGTTTCCTGAGCTGACAGTTTCCTCACAACTGTCTGGGAAGGAATCACAGACAGAAAAATGATGAGGTCATGTCCTCGGATGCATGGGAATAAGTA